CAAATTAAATTACAATAAATTTGAACCCCCCCCCTCCCTCCGTCCGATCCACCTTTTCCAGCTGTGGAAACTCTCTCAACTCTCCTCTTGTCCGGCCAACGTAAGCGTGATCAACGTAAGCTCCTAAGGCATGATTCGCTGCTCCCCGATCAGGAGGGGGAGAATCAGTGCCTCTTTTGCATATGAAAGTTTTCGCTTGTTAACTCCTCCTTAACTTTTAAAAGGCGAACAATTCCTTAGGCAAAAGAGGCTCCGACTTCTCTGGCCTCCTCCCATAGTTAACACTGAGAGCAGACACCAAGCCACTGTGACTTTGAATCTGGTAGCAACTACCCTGGCTTTAATTATTTAAAAAAAAATATTTAAAATTCTTCCTTTCCCTCAGGAGACTGGTGAGGCCCCGCCTCCCCTGCCTCTAGTGACTGCACGTCCCTGCCGGAGACCATAGTAAATGTAGTATGGACTTACTATAAGGCCTATCCTTGTACCCAAAGCTGAGGACTGAGTTAAAATCCAAAATTCCTTAACTGTTTTCATTTCTAGCAAGTTTACATAGAGAAGTCCAGATTGACAAGTTGGGAGTAACAATTAATAAAGAATTAATAGGTCTGTCCTCAAATCAGTTATCTTCAGTGTGATATTCTACTGGTTTGGACCAGTCTGCCCGAACTGGTAGCAGAAATCACAGGTGGCCCAACCAACTTCCCCTGCTTTATGGCATCCCATTTAGCCTGTTTTTTAGCTAAAAGCGCATGTGCGGAAGGTGGAGCTCATGCGCACACTCTCACATTTGCAAACTGGTAGAGAAGGTAAGTAAATACCACCCCTGGTTATCTTGCAAACTGACCATAATCATTTGCCCTAAGTAGAGCCTGGTCAAATCATAGTCAGAGACTGGAAAAAGTGAGAGGAATATTATTCACTTTTACTTAAAGGCACAATTGTTTCCTGAGCTTTCATTTTCAGTTCTGTGACAATGTCCCTTTCTGTAAGTGAATTCTGGTGATAATTAATTGATTGACTTTTCATTATTCTCATTTTCCTATCCATTTAGTCTCCAGGAAATTTCACCCTTTGTTTTTCTATTC